CATATTCATATTTAGTCGTGGTTACGATAAAAAAAAACAGATGGCTAAGAATGCGGTACATGGTAGTTGATTGGTATCTTATCTGAATACGCCCTGATAAAACGAACAAATTCAATTGAGATTGTCAAATTAAGAGTGAAACCATCTTAGTGACTGTGAGTATCAAAACCAGCACATTTGAACTTACATAAAATAGTACTATGATTATCAATACTAGTATCAAATGCCTTGCACAAATCCGCCCTCCATAGAAACAACTAGCACCATGGTATTGACACATTTATCAGACAGACCAATGAGGGCGATAGTGCACGAGCGGAGTTGCCGGAACCAAGAATGGGAATCAGTGATTAAATGATTTCTATGCAAAAAATGATAAACGTGTGAATAAATAAATGTAAGAAAAAGGAAAAGGATAGCTATGGACCTGCTGTTATCAACACCATTTTCGGGACGCCCTTATGAAGAGAATGTATTCTTGCCTCTTTGAAACAACGCCATTCGCAACGTGTAATCTACTTGATAATGGATAGAGCACATTTCAACACAGAGGGCGGAATATCGTCGCACTCCGTCGAAAAATCAAAAATCGTGCCCTCTAGTGACGGAGAGGTTTTGTGACGTAACAATGACGTATACAGGTGAAGGCTGAAGTGTTTGGCTGTGTTGTCGTTTGTCATTTAGAATATATCACCAAAACATATATACGTCATAGAAGCACGTCGGCACGAGAGGGTATAATTTACAAAAATGGTGTGTTGTATCAAAAATTATTATACATCTGTCACCGTAACGTCATAAGTTATAGCGTGCAGTAATTTTGCGGTATTTTACGGGGTACTTTTCATCCTACCATATTAGAAAATGCGATTTCCAAATATGGAATGATTACACGCGTAAGCGTTCTCTAATAATAAAAACAAACATGGCTGCCACCGGGGTTTGACCGGACTCCTCACAAAGAAGTTCGCTGATTCAGATCTAAACATGTTGGATTTTGGAATTCCCATGGTGTATCTTTGGAAGAAAAATATGTATAATAATAAGGTTATTATGCACGTATGCACGAAGACAGTACACCTTCGCATCGATCTCCGCTGCGCATCGGTCGATACTCCCTCTGTACTGTCTTCGTGCATACTTTGAGGTATCCTCGTAATAACCTCATACTATGCAAGATGAAATAACTGGTGTCCACATGGCGGATTTGATGTTGTAGAGATATTCACTAGATTTTAAATGTACCCACCCTGTTGTGTTCGAATTCGAAACACCAACAACTCAAATGCAACCATATTGTATTTTGAACCATCAGGATATCAATCTCTAGTCGGAATTATGAAAACAAATCTGAAACTCATACCAACACAATCAGTTGAATATGATTGGCCAGTACAAACTCCAGGTTCGGTTTACGTGTTGTAAGGGGGATAATGCACTCGTACACTATCTGAACGATTGCATTCCACTTGTCCATTATCCAAAATATTTCACATTACGTATCCTATAATTTGATTCGTTTATTTGGAATATAAATGCACATAATTAAACACTTGTGATGAATATTCAAGTTGTTTGACATGCTATACTGATAATAAATCATTTTCCCAGCAATATCAAATATCATGAAGGAGCTTTCGATACATCTCATAAGACTTTTTGCAATATATACCTGTTGTGAACATCGAAAGGAAGTTGCTATCACGGCATTCACATATTTAATAACAGTTTAACGTAAAACATACCATGCCTTAATTCATGGTTTGAAGTCTTAATGATAATTCAGCATTCCACACATTCCGGGAACAATACTCTTTCGGGTCACTAATTGACCAAGACAGTCCATGTATATAACTGATGTGGGAAAATTAATAGATTGCGATCAACCCCGGTGTTATGATAAAATTGGCGATTTCTCGCTAATAGCGGTAGGGTGGCTCATTTCTAAATACAGTCTTACAGAATCATGGTTCGATAATTATTTATTTGGCGACCCGACTGTGACTTGACACTTCGCGACCCATCGTAACAAGATCCCGTCACGCCGAGTCGTAGCAGTGTGCATAGCTCCACGACTACGAGTAAACAGTTTTCAGTTGAAATGGGGTCAGATTTTTTTCAGATTTGAAGATTTAATAGCATGTTTAAACGTCAGGGGTCGTGGAGGTGATGAGATATGTAAAGTCTATTATGTGTATGATAGTTACCGTCTGCGTCGAACTCATCCTGACACTTTTATCCAATGATGTAGCGGGGGTTTATGTTCAAGACTTACTTATATATATGTGGCGTAAATCTGAACGAAAAGGCAAGAAAACAGATTTTTGTCTTTGTTTTATATAGGAATGTAAAACTAAGGTATACTCGAACATATACTGAGGAAAAACAAGTTCATCTTTGTATCTGTATCGGGTCGTTGTCAAATTTTCCTTTCAGTTGTATAAGCACTTTCCAGTATAATGTCTGTATAATTTTGTTTCGTATTTGTTATTTAATAAACTACACTACTTCTACTAGGACTACTAAAGTAATCATCATCATGACATCATGGATTGTGCATGGGTGAAAACTACATTTCAACATAAAACATTATCCAGAAAAGATCGAACTCGTACAGTAATGTATTACAACAATTAATTGGTTACGATTAAAACTCACCGCCATATTTGTTTTCGACTTTTACCATGCGGCTTTATTTTGTTCTGTGCCTCGATGAATCACGATACAAAAGTAAGGTCACTAAATTCTACTTTTCGCTCATAAAAAAATTAGCTATTTCCATTTGGCTCTTATAGTCAAAAGATTACGCCATATCTCAAAAAACTAAAAAACAAAAATTTTGCATGTTTTCAGACAATTTATATTTAAAAAAAAATAATATTGGCACAAAAGTTGACGACTTGAGTCTAAATCAACAATTATGCAACATTTTTTAAAGGTACACTGCAGTTAAAGTTTTAAACATGTCAATGCACCTCGTTCATTTGCATATAGCAATCTTCTTACAAGTTAACATTGTCGTCTATGGAGTTCCAATTAGTGGTATGAGCCCTGAATATACAGAATTCGCTACAAATTGCACCATCTAGTGACGAAACGCTTCTAAGACGTAAACGGGTGACATAAGGCAGTGATAAGGGCGTTTTAAACGTCGATATCTTTTTGGTCTGTTGTCGTCTATCGGGTTCATCAGTGAAGACTAACGTTTTTGAAGAGATTTTACTATATTTTAGATGACGAACGGCTACCCAACCTAACACAGTGGTTGATATGAACGACATTACCGTCACCCATCCCGGCGACGGACATCCGGGCATTTTCACCGCCTGACAAGCATCACGGTGAAAAAAAAGCCGACAACTATCAGAAAACAGTACTTTTGAATACTGTGAAGTACGTTATTTTCACTGAATGGATATGACATTTTTTTCCAATATTTTACATTCTACTTATCAAAATTCAGTGAAAATAACTCAATTCCGCGAAAATTAATTTCAACCAATTAAAATAAAGTATTTTACAGTAGTTGAAAATACCAAGATGTCCGCACCAAGGATAGGAATGGTTTATTGTTTTACATAGTTCTACTGTGACGTCATCTGTATGGGTAATTGCGATGACAAATGTCGCCGAGACCACTGATCAATAACTCAGATGCAGCCAATGGAGCTGTTCATCGGAAAAGCTGTTCCAAGTGGTTTTTGTTTAGGGCAGGGGATTTTTTCTATTTTTTGTAGGGGGCGGGAAATATCAGTACCCCCTAGTAGGCAGGACAGATTTCTAAAAAAAAGTGCAAGGACAGGGAAACTTTTTTTAGTGGGTAGGGTACTTACATAAAAAATATCGCAGTGTGGGCAAAACAGCCTTTAGGGCAGGGTATAATAAAAAAACGCATTGGAGGGAATAACATCTGCTAAATGTAGGCAGCCTTGTGCTATCAATAACTGAAAATGCGAGTCACCCACTGATCTGCTGAGTGGTTAATGTATTCAAGAAGCCCATAGAAGCCAATGACTCGATGAATTACGCCACCAATCAGTGGTGTTTTTTTAATGAGGGGAGGGAAAAGATAAATTTGGTCAGCAGGAGGGCAAGAAAGGCAAGTTGGCGGTAGGGGAGTAGGCAAAAAAGTGTTTTTTTAACGAGAGCAGGGGAAAGATGAATTTGGTCAGCAGGAGGGGAGGCCAATATTTTCAGGTGCAGGGTAGCTTATGAACAGCTTTTAATTTCCCCTCTTTTCTTAATATTAATTAGCATACTTCGAAAGGCCCATAAAATAAATTTTGTCTCAGAAAATTGACTATTTCAATTTATTGCTCGTTGGCTGCACCTAATAACTAGCTTACGATCTGCTGTGGCACCCTTGAAATAAAGGCAAATACAATGGAATTTGATAAAAAACAATAGCATCAACGAAGCGTCGCTATTTCGTTATCGGGTGCGAGCCACTGATGCATGCGGCAAAACGTAAACAAGTGTGAGTTCCAATATTAATGTTATTGATTTCCAAACAACCGGGGAGATCAACGACCACCCAACGTACCATGCATCTTTTCATCGTTGTTACCATAATATTCATAGTAAACAACAATTTATTTTTGTTCGATAACATGATTGCATGCTAGAGAAACTGATACAAATACATTGAATCGGATCAAGAATAACATACGTGTTGTTATTATACTTCGTTTGATCATAGACTATACAGAACTATGGGTTGCTTGAAATTGCCCAAGCCTTCTCGAAGAATCGGTTGCGTTTAAATTGCCCGCTAGTCGGTCATTTTATTGAGGATCAAATAGAAAATGTCTATGTGATGCCAATTTTGACGGAAATCGGCAAAACAATGTAATTGCATGCATGATAAATGTCGTTTTTCAACTTGAAATGAATATGTCCTAAACAGGCAGTGTTTCTTTTCAGTAATCTTAAACATTCAAGGTAGAAATATCGTGTTCATGCAAAGCAATCGTTATTTCTTGTCACTGGGGAACACCGTGTTTAAAATACTCGTACAACATGTACTACTTTAATCAAATAATATTTAAAAACACATTTCACGTCCAATTGTTAAAACACCGACATTTTACAGCCGGGAGGTCTCATACTTAGCCATGGCAGTGTTGGCTTCTTCGATCAACAAACTAGAATCACCAAAAAATTTGAACGCTACAGACGATTCTATGGTGTTATGAACTGCGTGGATATACACAGAAGAACCCATACCAGCAATCTGTGAAGCCCAGTATATTGGTTTTATGGTATCCGACAAATACGAGTCTGAGTTAATCGAACGAATTATGATTATGTCCCATACCGTGGACTTCAACTCCTTAGGAAAGTTCTCTTGCAAAAGTTCAGGTTTGTTGTTAATTAGCGTTTTCCATTCTGACTTCGAAACTGAGTATTCCCCAGAAATGTAAGTTACGTCTTTGGGCGCCATTGTAATCATTCGCGACGTGTCGTTTCCGGCGACTACAAGAGTCGTGGCACCATTTTGGTTTGCGGTGCTAAGCAATTCAATGTCATTGGCAAACCCGAAAACTAGCAATTTACAACTACCGGACCTGTAAAAAATGTCTTCTAGAATAGACGACATCTGTCGAAGTCCAAGCGGCATGCTTTCCTGGAACATTCTTTGCAAAATATCACTCTTCTTCTGGGACACGTCGTAGTCCGTCTCGTCCAGAATGACACTCAGCAACTGCAGTAGACTTTCTCGCGATACACGCGCGATCTTGTCATCTTGCGGCGTGGTCCTTTCAGCAAAAAGAGTCCAGTAATTCAAACCAAACGCCTTCGCCAGACCATCATAGCACCTAAGAGAATTATTTCCATGGCAACTAAAATTTCGGTGGGTTATTTCAATCACGTGACTTTGAGGGTGACAGAAAGCGACATTGGCAACGGCAGTACTGCGAGGAGCCAACACAATTCTGGCTTGAGAGAAAGTGTGCTGGTTTCCCCGCCAGTCATGTTCAGACGACTTCCAGACAACTAATCCCAGTGTGTCGGGCAACGAGGCTTCTAAGACCGATAAAATCTCGTTTTCGTTTTCAAGAAGTATAGACGTGTGATCTGACTCTCTAAGGTACAGTACGATGTCACCGTCATTGAAAACTGTTCTTTTCAGTTTGCGTAGAGAATTCGGTGGGATCAGCCCTTGCTGATGGAGTAAGTTGTTCGGGAAGAATGCCGGAAGATAAACAGTGCTCGCAAAGTACGTGACATCCGGGATATCGTAAATTACACGAGAACTGTTCACGTGGCAGAAATACTCAATGACGTCGGCGGGTAATTGAGTTTTCATCAAAATTTGTAAAGGGTCCGTAGTTTGCATAAATTCGCACGTAAAGTTTAAAAATGGTAATAAACCAAACACTATGTCTTCAAAAGTATCCTGCTGTATGTGAAGAAATGATAAAATAGCTGCGCGTGACAACACCGTTGTATTGTTTAAAACAGATTCTTCCATATTTGATAACACTAGTCCATTCCTGTGAATATATCCATTCGACATTCTCGTAATACTGCCTCGAGATGGCGCTGTCCACATTTCCCCGAAGGTCTGCACCACGTTTTGCTTGAATACTGCTGTTCGAACTTCTTCAAAGTGTAATAGCCCAGGGTTGTCTGCCGCGTTCACTTTAACAGATTCCAGTTTCCTCGCCCTCATGAAGGAATGCATCTCATCGCCATCATCGAGTGAGGGCGTTGTATGGTAGACGAATGACGGGTTTGATAACAAGGCCAAATTGCTGATAAGTATAAAAATAGCCAATGCGATCAGAAATAGCATGATCTTGAAAAGGCGCGACATCTTTCTCCTGGAACTTCGTCCTTTGTGTTGAAATTTACCCATTGGCACCCAGGAGGTACACGATCAAGGCGATGTGGTTGTCTTACGCCCTCATACGGTTATATAAAAATTTATACATCCCTTTGGTATGATTTTCGCCTAGAAAAGATTAAAAAAAAATGTAGTCACTGTGTAGCAAGTTCGTTATGGTAGTTACATGTAATCACAATCCGCAAAAAATGTTGAAAAATATTAAAATAGATATACATAAAGCTATGGACCTCGAAGAAAAACTATTATGGTCTGTATTCCACATTGCAAGTGCCACCTAATAGGCGGTTATCATCGCGCCGCGCATGTGCGACATTTGTGTTGATAAACATTGATATTCCCACAATGTAATGCGCTCTTCTAAAGAAAATCACGAGTACGAGTTTTGACCTGGGCGTGCACTAAGTACCGTTGACGACTCTTTCGATACCTTTCAATCACCAAATTACATACAGTGTAGTTAAAGCTTGGTAACGTCTCAGTTTGCACTCGTTTTGTCTGCGCAGAAGTTACATCGACCCGTATCTCGCGCATGTGTGGCACGACAACCACCGCTCTTTAAAGTTACGTTACAGAAAATGTCGAAAACTGGTACACCGAGAAAGTCTTCAATATGATTGCTTTTCCGCAATGCAAAGCAAAAGAAAAAAAAAACAATTTTAAATCAACCACTTCGAGTAAATTGCCATTCTTCGAATGTCATCGCACCGTGCCCAGTCGTAACATAATGTAAGAGAACACATGTACTAAATCCAATCATTTGTTGAGTTGAGTTCAACGCCGAGTTCCATGTTCTATGTTATCACGAGACTTGACGTAAACTCACAGTGATTGCGAGACCTAAGATTTTGCAACCAGCATTTTTACATTGTGTCATAATTACCAATACAGTGGCGAAATAAAGCCATTTACATCGACAAATTCAATCTTGGCGTTCATCACGAACCGTTTGTAATACAGACTTTTCGCAGAATTTGTTTTACACATACATGTTAATCGACACAATATGACTCATTTCATCGAACATATTTATTGTTCATGCCGGGTTCCACATGTACGGCGGGGTCAAAGCTGCCTCTCATTCATACAATTCCAGCTTCGTTCGTCTCATCTCGTCTCGTCTCGTTCCCACGACATCACGCACAACCTCATGCAGTGGAACTCGCATTGATCCTACTGTTTCCCCCCGTAAAACATTCAGCCACGGGAAGGGGCACCCCATGGGTATATGACTCTTCACAAATTTCATTATACAACATGTAGAAATGCAGCGTGAGATCATCGCTCCAGGACATACTGCAGTTCACGCACCACGTGCTTATTAAATCAGCAGCTGCTACACAACTTTCATATGCGACTCTAATTAATCTGAGGGCGAATGTACGACCCCGGATGCGTAATAGTGGCGACACATGGCTATAACGGTGATCACTATTGTTATTAACCGATTAGAAATATTTCGCACGTACTAACGATGTATGTTGTACGACGTAAATGAACGATATCACGGGCACATTCAACATAACTTTACACAAAATAAATTATGTTTAATTGGTCCCGGTTTACCTAATGCTATGTCCAGTTAATAATTCATAAACTGTACTAAATCTTTGAAACAAATTGCGCATGTGCTCCGAATTAATGGTACGTACTATTAATTACAGGGCATGCGCATTTGGGAAGTGTGTTGTTATTTCTAATATGTAATATTTCATGCATCGCAAAAACATTGTGATTTAGTTTATAATTCGGTTAATAATGCAAAGTTCGAGGTAATTTAGAAAAAATACGGAAATTATTCATAATAATTGTATTAAAATTATAACTCAATTGCTATAATTTCAATATTTTCACATTGCAATGAAAACGAGCTGTAGTACAGAATGTGGGTAAGTTATTGAAGCAAGATGGGCTGTGAAACTAAGATGACATTCATATGGCCCAATTATAAATCACCGCCACATAACCAACTAAGCACATCTCTTGTCATACGTGACCTGCAAAACAAGCCACTTCGAAGTCGATGCGGCGTGATTCCTACCATTTAATTGAACCATCGCCATTGCTCTAGTTGCAAAGAACATATAAGCAGACCATTAATTTGTCGAAAATATTTGTTCAGTTGTACAAAATTTGTTAAAAATTGCCTCTTCAGTGGCGTGAACAACATCATTCAAATAGACAACTGTTTTATTTCGTTGTAGTTGTAGTTTTTTAATGTAGCAAATATGTGAAAAACGATAAGTTCGAACACGCGCTGCGTGACGACTGGGGCGATTTGAACATTAAGATATGGATCGTTGTCGATATCGAGGCAATTAAAATAACAATAATATGTATCGAGCTTATGCTGATTTCTGGCTTACCTGATTACAGTTAAATCTGGGACTATTACGTCACTTGATTTCATTATGGATAGTAAGTAATCTCACATAGTAACGTAAATAGTAATTCTATAAATATTTCTCGGGATTTTATGAAAATTAATAACATCTCTCCGTTTACAAAGGCATCACATGATCAAATTAGTCTGTAGTTCCGAAATACATAGTATTTGATATAAAATCATTCAAACGTATTATATTTTTATAATAAACACGGGACACATACACATGTATTATGGGCACTGGCCACATCGTCCGCAAATAATACTTATTGTTTGAATGGGTACATTTCCCAATCCAACTAAATCCGTATATCCGTTACCATTCAGTGAATGACCGTCCATTTATACATTACACATTCACGTGCGTTCGTTATTCCAGACGGACATAATACAGACACGCCGTGATACAATACTATTATGTCGGTATTCGTCAATATAACACCACTGAAATGTACATGTATACGACTACACGCAACAAGGAGTGAAATCGGAACCAGGGCGATGACGAAACTGAAATCCACAACCAAAGCAGTTCACACGTGAATCAAAGACTAGTCGGGTATTGATTGGTTTTCCATGCCGCCTGGGACGTGTACGTATTCCAGTAACGTCACGCTATTACAGAAATAGCAGCACTGACACACACTGGCCTATGTATTCGACAAGATGTCATAAAATCAGCATGACAGTTTTCTTTTTATTTATAGTTGCATCGATATCATTTCAGCAACATTGTCTGTAGCATTGAGTAACCAGACGACTGTGGTGTTATCTAAGCATGTTCGATCTCGTACTACGAGTTCATGCCGAGGTCGCTGTTCAATATTGGTAAATGATATCTATCGACAGGCACATATTCAAAACACTAATTTGTTTGCCATAGCAACAGTCGCCGCGTTATTGTACAACTCTTGTAAGATGGCTGTAATATTGTAATAGATGCCCGTATATGCATATTTGCGGGTGAATGCGTCGTACACGCTCCGTTCCCTGTAATCTAATGATGTGTCATCTAGAATGCGTCACTCGTGTACTAGAGTATGCATTACTAATGTGGATTACAAACAAAGAATGCTACATAATATATACACCATAGTTTATAAATGGGAAAGTAGAGGACCGGTTAAACTGCGAATTGTCATTGACATGTCCACGGTAAAACGCAGTGCCCACCGTAGTCCGAGTGTAGTGTGAAAAGCCCATACAACGAAGTGAACGCGCTTACCTGATGAAAGCTCAGTAATTCACCTTATTATTGAAGACAACTTAATAAAATATCCATGAACTACTGGTATATGCCATTTCGTAAAAACATTCTAAAATGCAGAGACCAAGGTTTCAGTGCAAATAATGGCATCTGTGCGCAAAACTTTCTGACACGCATGCGTACAAGGAATAAGGGAAGGCTTTTCATTAATTAAGAAAATATCGAATAAAATAATATCGAAAGTTACATCCGCACTCAGTTTCGCGCTTCAATAACCAAGCACTATTAACCACAATTTGTCAGCGTTTCCAAGGTGACGCGATACCATTATCTTCCAAATATTGTGTTAAATGTACATTGCACTAAAAAAACGGTGGATGTATCATTTGTTTGGAATTAATGGTCGGTTTCTTCGCCCGTGCTTCCGGAAATGATTTTTCTTTAAGGTGTCACACTCAAGCATTCAGTTGAAAGTTATGAAATAACCACCAACACAGCATAAATGAGGCACGCACCCATGCTAAATTAGTGGTGCAACACGTATTCCGGCTGACAATACGTGCGTAGATTAGAATACAATAAATATTCATAAATGAGGCACGCTCGCATGCTAAATAATGCAACACGTACTCCGGCTGAGTATTTAGGTAGGTATACTATGTATCAATCTAAACGCTAAACCAAATGCCGACACGCGCATTTCCTGAGTTGACTTTAATTTCAATTTGAGAATTGGCCAAATCTTAATCGCACGGGAATTGAGTTCCAAGCGACGATAACAACAAACGCTTAAAGCGCAAAGGCTCATGGGTAGACACTTGTTTGTAAACAATGACACGCTATGGCCATCTGACGCATGCGTATGTGACGACTCCCCCGCTTTAAGGGTGAGACGTGACGAAGCGTCTTGTGGTTTCACTGGTCATCTGCGAGGTCAAGTGTTTGCTTGGTGTCTAAGCTGCCGGGCGTTTACCTGGCGCGTAAGGAGTCAAACCGGTTTTCTTGTCGCCAAAGAGTCAGGTCGAATGGGTAAACCAAAAATTAAAATTGTTCAGGTCACGGCGTCCAATTTTTGGAAATATCTAGATTCAAAATAAAGTGAATTTTAACTTATCAAGCAACATCCATACATTTTTTCCCCAAAAATAAATATTTTTGTCACATATTTTTTTTTAAATATCATCTCTGGGCGTGATTATACACCGAACACCATGACACATATGAAGTAATGTAATTGAGACGCGAGAAGGGAACGTAATAGCGGATGATCATACGATCACCGTGATCTGCATTTGCCAATGTTTCGGATGTTTATCGATGTAACGCTGGGCCAAAATGGCCTGAAATAGTTTCATCCATGGTGGCTATGGCGAGGCAATTACGTGAATGTTGTAAAATTACATGCGGGTCAAATGTTTGACCCTAGATGCGTACGTATCCATTTCATATCCTGAAAATTGTATGAGTGTAAAATATGCTTACTAATATAATGTGAGCTAATACAGTCAAAGTATC